CGTTGTTGCGTATATATGTTTATTTTGGAATGATAAAAATTTATTCAAATCGTTTCTCTCTCTATGCTCTCTTTGATGATTCATGCAGTGCATATAGCGGACGGTTGATTGGTTTGTAGGGTGAGGGTGAGCCCTCATCGGCAGTATTCGCACGTACATCTAAACCGCTACAAAAGATGTCGCAAGGATACGGTGCACGGAACTTGCTAAATAACACGATGCTAACGATTTTCCAGTAAAGGTTTTCTAGAGACCCCCTAGAAAACCTTGAAATGCCCTTCATCGAATTTGCCATGTTTTTTTACGTATCTGACGAGAGTTTCACTCAATTTGAGCGAAAACTAAAGGCGCTAGAGAAAAATCACTTGGCCGTTTTCTGCCCAAAATGGCTATTTTTTAGAAAATTTAACTTTTTTCTCTATTAAAAGCATAAATCAAAAATGTCTCTCTGTAACTTTGTTCTAAATTTCACGGGAAATCTTTTGATGTAACAATTTTGCGCTTAGCTCTCATCCCTGAGCACTTGATGCTTTTGCGAGATCGATGGGTCGAAGATGGAGGGCTCACGGTTAAACCGTCTCACACAGTCTCAGTTCTAGACGAAAAGGTTTAAAAGACAGTTTTCTAAATTCAGTTTTTGACGTAGAATTTGAATATGTCATTGAAAAAATTTTTAAACACGATCTTAAAAGATGAGACCATTTTTTCTGAAACGGAGCGGATTTTCGGGTTTTGACCCGCCGTCAGTATTTTGCCATTTTCTCCCCCAAAACTTGATCACATTGAGCTAAAAAGGTGATATTTGGAATCAGCACACTCTATTCTATCAGAATATGTGTGTTTAACTTGAAACTGAGAACCCGCGAAAAGTTTGAATTATGTGCGCCTTACACAAACTGACTTCGTTAAAATTAAATAGCTATTGATCCAGGTTTAGAAAAACTAACTAGTCCATATTGATACGTATCAACGTATGAATATATCAGCCATGCATCAGTTTCTTACGTTATCTTAATGACTTATATTAATATTAGTTAGTGCACTGTTGATAGAAAAAAATGAATAGAATGCTAGAAAATAAACGGGAGGAAACGAGAAGATACCATTCAAAACTGAAGAAATTTAGAATACTGTGATATCTCTGCTTTGCTATACATCTTTTTTTCACAGTAGCGTGATCATTCTAATGACTTTAATGTCTTATTGATGGGAAAAAATAGAATATTCCTGACATAAAAAAGATCTTTCTAGCTATCTATTAATAGTTTGGTTTTGTACACATGAAAATGCGTGTTAAAGTCAAAANACGGTATACGTTTTCTGACGTTTATTGAACACGAGAAAATTTTTTATAACTTTAGAAGAAAAAGTACTTAACTTTCCCAAAAAAATAAAATACAGACAACTTCCTCCACGGTCATCCTGACAGATATTGGTGAGAAAAGATTGCTGGATACCGCAGGATAGACATGGAGAACAAAATCCTTTTTTTTTCAACCAACAAAATTCTGCCAGATCTCGTAGGAAAACACTTGTGGATTGAATGAGTCAAAAAGTCTTGCGATGTTTCTTTACATCCTAGTGAGCTCTTTCATCTTCTTCGTAAAGACCTATATAAACCCATTGATTGAAATAGTAAAGTCATTATATATTGCACCACATACGACTATTATAAGAAGACGTATGGATTCGAAGAAACGCTCTGGTTTCAGTCAATCGAAGCATTGGTCCTGATATCTCAAGCACTTCAACGATGAGTCCAACGACGAAGAAGATGATGTTGACCACGGTTCTGAAGATGTCGAAATACCTTCTACTCTTCAGGATAGTTCTGATGAATCAGATGATGGCGTGGTTGAAAAGGATTCAGGTGATGAATCTGATGCAAGCACTGTCGAAAGTGGAAGTATCAGTGATGATGAACCGCCTAGACGCCGAGCAAAACGTCAACCACAGGTTGAACAATCACCAGTTCAAATATTTACAGCGAAATCTGGCATCATTGGACATCAAGGGAACCTCCCAAACGAAAAATACCATCAGCTAATATCTTACGGCAGCGAAATGGTATTAGACGATCAGCTGCAGGTATATAAAGTGCAAAAGAAGCATTTCAGGTTCTAATAACTTAAGAAATGGCTCTTCTTTTGGTGGAAGAAACCAATCGACGAGCGCATCCGATCATGAAACAATGGAATAAGAAAAATCCTGGCAAAGAATACCATTTGAAGGATACTGATCTTGAAGAAATGTGGGCTTTTATTGGGCTATTACTCCTCGCAGGTGTTCATCGAGCAAAGAATGAAACTCTAAATGAACTGTGGTCAATGATCAATGGATGACCAATATTTCGAGCAACTATGACCAAGAATCGTTTCAAAGCCTTACTTCAGTTTTGCCGATTCGACAATACAACAGCACGAGAGGAAAGATTGAAGTCGGATAAACTGGCAGCAATACGAGATTTATGGACAATGTTTTAGCTCGATTACAAATATGCTACACGCCTGGTGGATCACTCACAGTAGACGAACAGCTTATTCCAACTCGTGACCGATGCAATTTTCGTCAATATACGCCTAGTAAACCTGGAAAATATGGGCTGAAGATCTTTTGGTGTTGTGATTCAGATACAGCATATACGTTGAATGCTGAAGTTTACCTGGGTCGCCAGCCTCGAGCAGCAGCTGCAGCTAATGATACGAATCGAATTCGTAATCTAGTGAAACGGTTGGTACATCCTTGAATCAGTACAGGACGAACCATTACTACGGACAATTATTTTACTAGCGCAAAGTTGGCAGAAGATCTTTTAGGTGTTCAAACAACTCTTGTGGGAACTATTCGACGAAATAAGAAGGAAATTCCACGAAAGCTGCAACCAAATACTCATTGTCCTGCACAATCATCGATATTTTGTTTTGATCGACAGCTAACACTAGTTAGCTATGTACCTAAAAAATCACATGCTGTGATTTTGCTGTCGTCTCTTCATCATGATCAGACAATTGTTGATGAGGAGAAGAAAAAGCCAGAAATTATTTTATACTACAATAGCACAAAAGGTGGTGTCGATCATATGGATCAGATGGTTCATAATCAATCAAAAAACGATGGCCAATGACCTTCTTTTTCAACATACTTGAAGTTGGTGCTCTTGCTGCTTTTGTGGTATGGACAACCAAAAATTCTCAATGGAATGAAAAGAAAAATTACCGTCGATGTCTGTTTCTAATGGCATCGGGTTATGATCTTGTTCAATCGCATTTGGATCGACGACGACATCAACCACACGCACTTCAAAAGGGCGTCCGAATAGCTATACAAGCAATTGGGCTAACTGTCATTACTTCACAACCAACTATTGTTTTAACAGCTACTGTCAAGCAACGTTGTCATCTTTGTTCAAGAGAGCGTGATCGAAAGGTTATTACTCACTGTTCAAGTTGCAATGTTCCCTGTTGTCCAGATCATCACAGAGTTGTTTGTACGATGTGTAGAGAAACATTTTTGGGGTAAAAATGGATTATAAAATGTTTCAGAAATAAAAGATGAAATAACGAAATATAGTTTCTTTTTTATAAGCTACTAAGTCTGTAAGAGGCAAATTATACACCACATAATGCTATCATAGTATGCTACTTAAAATGCGTATTGTATCTATTTTATTAGTCTGGGGTCCATGGGGACCCCAGGTGAGTAATAAGTGGTAGTCCTACAGGTGGGCGTATGAGGGTTAAGAAACCGATGCTTATCGATAAGACGTTCATAACTTTTTCTCAAGAAACGTATGTTTCTTCACAAGAAGCTCATATTTTTATATGAAGAAACCGATATTTCCCTACAACAAGTTCAGGTTCTTTCCTGAAGAAATGAATCTTTCTCCACAGATTCAGGGTTTTTTTGATGGCTCATTTTTATTTCCTGAAGAAACCGATGTTTCTCAAGAAGAACTTCATGATGTTTCTTGAACAAACCGATGTTTCCATATAACAACCTACTGATGTTGCCTGCAGAAACCGATGTTTCGCCACAAGGGCTAGTTGTTTTTCCAATAAGAAACCGATGTTTCTCCACGAAAAGCGTATTGTTTCCTCTGGAAGAAATTGATGTTTCTCCACAAGAGGTGCATGTTTTTTTCTGAGGAAACCGATGTTTTTCCGCAAAAACTTCACATTTTTCCTGAAGAAACCCATGTTTCTCAAGAAGAACTTCAAGATATTTCCTGAAGAAACCCATGTTGCTTCACAAAGACTTCATGGTCTCCCGTCAAGAAACCGATGTTTCCGCACAAGAAGCTAATTTGTTTTTACGGAAAAAAGTGATGTTTCTCTAGAAGGACCTCATGTTATCGTCTGAAGAAACCGCTGTTTCTCCAAAAGCACTTTATATTTTTTCGTGCAGAAACCGATGTTTCTCCACACGAAATTCATGTTTTTTCCAGAAGAAACCGACCTTTCTCCACAAGGACTTCATACTTTCTAATTAAGAAAGCGATATTTCTCAGCAAGAACTTTATGATCTTCCCTGAAGAAGAGTTCTTCTGTTTCCTCAGTAAAAAACATGAAGTTCTTGTCGAGAAACGCCGATTTCTTGAGGAGAAAACATGAAGTTCCAGTGGAGAAACACCCGTTTCTTGAAGAAAAATCACGCAGTTCTTCTGGAGAGACACCGACTTCCGTACGAGAAAACAAGAATCTCTTGTGGAGAAACACGGATTTTTTCAGGAAAAAACATGAAGTTCTTGTGGAGAAACATCGATTCCTTGAGAGGGTAAAAAAACATGAATCATGTCATGTTTTCTCCTGAAGAAATCTATGCTGATTCACGAGAACATGGATTTTCCGCAACAAATCGGTGTTTCTCCACAGGAACTTCAGGTAGTTTCCTAAGGACATTGATGTTTCTCCATAATAACTTCATGTTTTTTATTGAACAAACCGGTGTACCTCTAGAAGAACTCCATGTTTTTTCATCAAGAAATGGGTGTTTCTCCACAAGAACTTCATGTTTTATCCTGAAGGAATAGATGCTTGTCCACCAGAACTTCATGCTTTTTGCCGAAGAAACTGACCGTTCTCCACAAGAACTTCATGTTTTTTCCTGAAGGAATCGATATTTCTCGACGAGAACTTTGATGAAATATTATTTCGATGTTTCTTAGCATAAAGAAAAAAAGCAAAACACATATTTGTTTTATTCTCAAAACTTTATCTTTCAAAATGTAATGAGACATAGTAAATACTACACTATGTCTCATCTCGACATACAGGAGATTATATGATATTATTTTTGTTTTTTGCAACATTTACTGATATTCATTGAACTCCATATAATTCTGACTCATGTCTCAATACTAGTTGTTAAAAATTGTATCGGTCGGAGCCAAGCATTTGGTAAAGATGCACAGAAAAGTAAGCTGGATTTTATAGAAACTACTTTTCGAAATAACAGCACAATGCCAATGTAAGTGATTGAAACAAAAGTATAAAAAACCATTTCGAAGTTTCATTAACAATAGAATCAGTAAGAAAAGCATGGTTAAAAGAAATATAACCTGAGAAAAGCTTTCAAGATTTTGCAAGAAGTTAATGACGCAGACAGAATTGAACAAAGCCATTTTGCATATAATATCAATAAATCCACTAACGGTAACAATATGATCTTTATTCATGACAGTGGATTCAATTTACGCCTTCCGTTTTTATATACGTATATATTAGACCTAATTGAGCTAGCATTTCGAAAATCAATCTACAGTTGAAACTTTGCTGGCTGAAAATCCCAATCAAGGTATCTTAGATACGATGGCACTAGCAATAAGTCAGATTAAAGCATTGAAGTGTCTAGCATGGTTCACAGAAATGATAATAAATGTAATTAAAACTTTACTTAGAGAAGCTTTGATCAGAAGACTAAACGTCGCTTGCGCTCCCAACTCCATGCTGTCATTTGAAATGTTTTCAAGATGATATTTTTTATCCGAACTCAATGGACTATTATTTCAGCTAGGCCTCATAGTGTAATTGCAAAATAAAAGTTGGGCATAAGGTGATCGAAGTCCCATGTAAATATCCTGTAACAAGACCTTGTTACAGGATATTTACATGGGAAAAAAGCTCGAGCTCTTTTCTTTACCATGGTGCTTGGTGCATTACCCAACGCATAAAACAAGTCAATTATAATGAAAAATTATTTCAATGTTTGTTGACATAAAGAAAAAGAGCAGACACACATTTGTTTTATTCTCAAAACTTTATCTTTCAAAATGTAATGAGACATAGTGAATACTAATGATTCATATAATCAAAGCATATATATGTTCTTTGTCAATAAACATTGTGATATAATATTTCATCGAAATAAATTCATTTCACGTATTGTACCGTGAAGAATAATTTCTCTTTTTCAGACTTTGCTCTTTCGAATGGTATATAAACAAAAATTTTATCTATTCAATAAATATTCAAATAGACGTGGAAAAGTAATCATACGAACACTCATTGAGCGGAAAAAAGCAGATCACAGTCAAAAAACGTCTCTTTTGATAGAAAAATTGTAGATAAAAATCTGCAGTTAACAGGGAATAAACCTGAACTTAAGATGAAACCGCTCCAGGTGATTAAAAGCTTTTGAACTGATATTTTGTCCATATGTAGGACCTGATGAGACTAGAAAAAGCCCAAAAGGATAAGAGCCCATATGACTTTTTTCCGAACCTCTGACCGTTTCACTAGGTTTTGGCCTACGGCAAAATATTTACAAAAAAATCAAATGACCAAATTTCGAGCTGATTTTGCCCATATGTAGATTTCGTGGCCCTTAGAATGCACCAAAATTTTCAAGAAAAATTGCAAAATTGCAAGAAATATTCACACTTACAGAGAGTTCAGAAAAAACCGAGTTGTCTTATATTAGAGCCTATTGTGAGAAGGCCTTTGGGCCCTTATCCTTTAAGGCTTTTTCTAGTCGCGTCAGGTCCTACTTATGGACAAAATATTACGTCAAAAACTTTTAAGTACTTGGGCTGGTTCTCTCATTAGAGCTGTCGAATGGTAATAAAGAAATCTTCCTTTCCTTCTTCCTTTAGGAGATAATGGCGTTACAGATATTTTCTTTCTACACTAACTGTATCTTCGTATCATTGTCTATTGTGCAGCTATGGGCAGGATCAGGACTGGGACTAAAAATGAATAAAAATAAAAAAAATAAAATTTTTCTATAGATTCACGGTTCGTATACCTAGTTGAGTTCGATAGTCCATAATATCGTATTCTAAACAGGATGGATCAAACACTCGAGAAATATTTCAGAATGTCAGTATCAAGTTGAAAGTGCACGAGATATTTACGTTTCTTGATCAAAGTTAGGCATCATACATTTTCCTCCAGAAAAGTACCATATCTTTTTCATCTTTAATTATTATAATAACTTAAAATTTTCGCCTCTTCATTTTAAAAATCGTTAAGCTGAAGTTGAAATCCTATAAATAAAACTAAAGAAAGCCACTGGCTAAGAGTGTTCTGACTGGAACGAGATAAAGTAAAAAATATCTCGAAACCATGTTTCACTCGGCGGATACTACGAATCCGGTGAGTCACCGATGTAATGAGATGTCTCGACAACAGAGTTGTCAACGTATATAAAGCATCGGTGAGTCACCGATGTAATGAGATGTCTCGACAAAAGAGTTGTCAACGTATATAAAGCTACAACATATAAATCGGAGTATGACAACGGTTCGGCAACTTTCAGCGAAACATTATTTAACATTCAGGACGTCTTGTTACTTTTCTTTCCGATATTTTTGCTATTCTAAAGAAAATTTTTACCAATTCTGTTTATTTTTTTTCACAAAAAATTCTCAAAAAAGGTATCCACTCAGAATTATCCAACACTTATTTGCATCGTTGATAAGTGAAAATTTGATATTGCTCATAATATTGTACAGCAATATCCACCAGTCGATGGAGGATCTATCATTCGGACAGGATAACGACTCTTCAAGTTTATATATGGCTGATTATAATGTTCGTCTATCCATTTATATTCGTATACCATTATTTTTTTTACTCTTGTAATTCTACCAGCGATAACGATAGATTGATTAGTTGCTAATCCCATGCGTTTTGTTTCTGTTAGTTCATAAAATGTATTTCGACATCCTGGTTTACATAGTTTACTATTGTGTATAAGTATTTTGGCACGTTCAAATTTTCCTGGACCAAAAAAACTATGACACAGGCCTAACAAGACACTAATTTCATCACTTGACATTGTCTTATATGATTGATAATCACAATAACGTTCAATATTTGGACATGAACCCTGATAATCAACAAGTGCACAAATACAGGAAAAATAGTACATTAATCGAGCTACATCGTTTTTAGGAACATTGGATGATTTACCAGATATGCGAATTTCTATCCCATCAACTTCAAGAACATGTGCCATTGATAAGACACCTTTTCTCTTCAAATAACAAAATAGTAGAATTGGCTAATTAATTCTTATATCAAAAAAAGCGCTTTGCTTTATTTGTGAATAAGTAAATGGTTCCTTTATTGTTGTTGTTGGAAGGTCACTTCATAGGCATTTAGAAAGGTGAAGAGCAATGTTGATATTAAGAATGAAAAAAATTATCGATGTACTACAAACGGCAACCTGTGCTTTGTAAGTTGCTCCATTCGCTTTGATGAGCGCTTAGAAATAAAAGAGTAAAAGTTTGTTCTTCGTCTTCGCACAAACGGCTTTGGTCATTCTTTCTGCTCAAGTTTTCAAAATAAAGTAAAGTTTAAACAAAATAAGATATGTTTTCTTTAAACAAGTTTTGTTTTGTAATACGGACTTTGGCTAATTAATTGTGAATAATTCTCTCTATTAGAGCTGTCGTGTTTCATACTCAAACGTTAACGAGTGACAACTTATTGTTTGTTTAAAGGAAATAAATTTTATTTTTAGGAAGTGTTATTGTTGTAGGCACGTTGACTATTCTAGAAAGTGTGGGTGTTATATTATTGAATTGTTATGCTATGATAAAAGCACTAGTTCCAGTTTCCATCTTCTTATACATTGTACAGAAAATTGGTTTATCTTATCAAGATTATTTAGCCCCGAACTTCTGTTACTCGTATTAACATTTAATATCTCTTATGAATGTCTACAAGTACAAAATCGTAAAATTAGTTTGTTTGTTTGTTTTTATTTCGACAACAGCAGTTTTGAAAAAAAAAGAGTAAACTTTAGTATTACAATAAAAAAAAAAAATTTTAACTAACACATAAACATGTTGTCAGGAAAGCAAAAAAGGTTTTAAACACCTATAAAAATTGCCACCTTTTTATCCTATTTTTTTTTTCACAGTTGTAAGTGCTGCCTCAGTTTGGTTTTGAAAGATTTTATTGTTGATGAGATAACTACAGTGTTGAGGAGAGAGTTCCAATCGCGAGTTGCCCTATACAAAAAAGATTGTAGAACAGTGTCAGTGCGCGCAAACGGGATAAAGACTTGTCTCTTATGCTGTAGTAGACGATCGGATCTTCTACTCACATCAAACTGTATAAGATTGAAGCGAGATAAGGGTGATAAGCCG